GAGGTACTGAACTTGGCGACCCATACTCGTGTGTATAAGATGGGAAGCCGCTTTTCTCATTGCCCCGTCTTCGACCGATGAGGATCCCGAAGCTCAGAAGGTCACTACAACGATTCTCTCAAGGAGGGTAGCAGCCGACCATTAGAACCCTACTAATCGCTATCGTGCTATACGCCACAAAAATTGGGATATCCACGACCTCCTCTTACAAGGGGGGTCTTTCAGGGCAAGCCGCGCTTTTTGGAAACGGTTTAGTGCATATTGTAGGGACGCATGTATGGACCACAAAACCATGTTTCGTTTTCGCTGAACGGTTTTAGTAGTACCAAAAAAGTGGTGAATAATTCTTGATGGTTCAATCCCCCGCGGCGACTAAATTTTGCAATCAAGGTTGGCGGCCACTTGTTGGCTTCAAAATGGTCCTGACGATGAATTGACATCTGATTTTGACATTTAGCGCGATTTGGCACCAACCGTAGGCGCCAACCCAAATGCAAAATTTAGTCGCCACGGGGGATCGAACCATTAACAGTACCTTATGCTTCTTTTTTGGTACTGCTAAAACCGTTCAGCGAAAATGAAACATGGTTTTGTGTTCCCTACATGCGTCCCTACAATATGCAAAAAACCGTTTTGAAAAAGCGTGGCTTGCCCTGAAAGACCCCCCTTGTTAGAGGAGCTCATTATACGACACCCATTCAGACCTCACCATAGTGATCATGCTTTCACCCTTCGTGCCATTTGCACAAAAGTGTCAACCGGGCTGTATAGTTTCCAGCGAAAAACGCGAAATTTCCGAAAATCGTGGAAATTTCGTAAAAAACCCCACGTTCCAAAAAAATCTCTGTTCCACTTCATTCGAAAAAGTAATGCCAATTTCATCGAATTAGGACTCCACCTCCAGAAGTCACAAAGAGAGATCTTACCTTTGGAACGGACAGAGGCACGTGTCAGAATAGACTAAGCGGTCTGCTGGAACTGATGCGACCATCTCCCCTTCTCGAAGCGAATATGACCCGCTGTTTGGGTTCCACAACTCAAACTCGTCTCCATAACCTATTCCCATCCTCTTCAATCCTAACAGGACTTGTGACTATACTTGACTTCCTTTCAAATGCCTCTCGTGGAGGGGGGGGGGGGCGAGGGATGTAGGGTATGATTCCTGCAAAAAAAAGGAAAATTACGAACTCCTTGAAAATAAAATCGCCCTAAATTTCATGGAAATCTTTCCAAAAAAACGCTCATATAACCATCAATCCTTACTTCTTCTCCGAACTTAAACTCCCCGTTCCACTTAATACGACCCCCACCATTCCCTAGAGAGAGCCGAATGCGGGCCGCTCGAGGAACCCCTGGCATTGGTTTATTTGGTTGGAAATCGTCCAGAAGGTAGTTTACAATGCTTGGTAAGGCGTGAAACGAACGGGTACCCCCCAGGAGGCCCGTCGCGCGGCAAGAAGGCAAAGTCAGCGGACGAGTCGCGCGCGTACTATAGGGATTTCGCGTCAAGTTAAATAGAGTGTCCCACTGCACGTCCTACATCGCACACCACGCGCTGCAACTCGTCCGCCGACTCTGCCTTCTTGCCGCGCGACGGGCCTCCTGGGGGTACCTAGAGACGCCTTCATAGCTTATATTTTTCATCTCTACCTTCTAGCGGGAACTGATATTGAATCGAAAAGGCTCAGATAGTTTGTTCCATACGCCATGACTCATCTTACCTAATATTAGAAAAAAAAATTTTTAGAAAATGGAATGGGCTGATTTAGGGGGAGGGGTGCGTAGCGTTTCTCCTCCTGGGGTCAGGTCACCTAAAATTGAGACGCCGTTCATTCGCTCGGAGCAAGCTTAGGACTAAGCCTAGGCCCAATCATAGGCTTAGGCATAAGCCAATGTGTAAGCATAAGCCTTAACCTAAGTCTAAACCCAAACTTAACCTTAAGCTTCAATGATCGCGCAACTGTGGTGACCTGACCCCAGGAGGAGAAACGCACGTCTCCCGTGGGGAGAGACGGGGACTACGCGGCGGCGCGATGCTCGACTTGTCTGCAACTCGGAGGCTTAGTCACAGGGACCGTTACTATTTCGCGGCATTGTAGTAGTTTCCAAATACAGTAGCATCGGGGAACAAGCCTTGTAGAGGAAGCCTTTAAGCTTTGACATGCGCCCGCCGCGTAGTCCACCCTCCCCCTCAACTAGTTAGCACCGAAAGATGTAACTTCAAGTTAATTATCCTATTTTCATCACTTGGATCTAAGCCTGCAAGCGCCTGAGCTCCACGAAGGGTCCCAGCACACATTTTGAAATCTTTTGTCATAAGCATTACGGAAATCAGCGATGTTGTTCCAGCTCATTTTGAATGATACTACGGCACTACAGACAAATATTTTGCGCAATGACAAGATTCTTAAGCCTCAGTACCTATGAAGGAAAGACCCTAAGCGAATTTGTAAGAGGCAATCAATATATGCAATGTCGAAACACAAAACGCGCATCATCGAAGCGATCGAACGATTGGAGAGCGCACTAGAACCGTGTCCTTTTCGAAAGCCATCGGTTTCATCTGGTTGGCAAACGCGCCTCCAAGTTACAACAGAGGTTAAAAAAGAAGGGCCCGGGGGGCCCCCCCGCGAAGTTCAAATCTTCAAATGGCGGGAAAGTTTGTCATTTGAGCGATGCGCGAATTTGAGCGTTTCTTACTTGTTGTTGCCGCAATGACTGCTCTTTCTTTTTTATTTCTATTTGTTTATTGTCGACGTGTGGGGCATCTTCACGCATTGTTATGAGGCCATTATGGTTTTTTTTTTAGATTACTAACATCGGAATCGCGTCCAAAACATGTCTAACTTTGACAACGCAGGACTTTACTACCAGGTACGCCTTAAAAGTTCCGTTCACAATTAGAGAAAGTCAGATTGAATGCTTGAGATGAGGGTGAAGAAGAAGTGGGGCATTTTTCTAAACGATCGGGAAATCTCCCGAAGAGAATTAGACTGTATTATAACTTCAGTCCGGTACCATTCGTACCTAGTAAGTAGCTGCCCTCACCCCCCACCCCCTAGACTGCCTACACTCCCCCTGGCGCACAGGTTTCTCGATGTACGGGACCCCGTGAGCCAGGGGGTGTGAAGGCAGTCTAGGGGGTGGGGGGTGAGGGCAGCTACTTACTAGGTACGAATGGTACCGGACTGAAGTTATAATACAGTGAGAATTAGCGACCTCGGCGCAATGTGGCTCGGGGGGCACTCTGTAGAAAGGCCTCTGGGACTAAGTCTAGGGAGCAGGGAGGAACTCTGGAGAATAACGAAAACTCCGCATACCGGAGTCTCTCCCCTCTCCAAAGGCTTAGTCCTGAAACTGAAATTTTTCCGTGATCTTGACGCGATGTTCCATGGTGCCCCCCTGAGTCACATTGCGCCGCGATCTCTTTCATTGTTGCAAGACTAATGAACCAAATCGTTGATTTGAGTTTTGTTTCGGCAATATGCGCCATTTAAGGAACGATTCTTCGCAAACGATGGAGTCCCTGATCAGGGACGTGAGATGATTGCAGAATATCGCCAAATTTGCGAACAGTTTCGACGATTTATTAGAGAGTTCTCTATAGGAGGAACGGGAGGGCTTCATTATCGGTAAGTTATTTCCGTCCATCCCTCATTGGTTTCTTTACCTAATTTTCGTTGGTTCTCGGGTGTTTGCTTGAGTTTTCCCACTTTATAATGCTTCTTATTCAGTGATGAGCTCAAAAAGAACTACAATGCTAAGTACTACATGCTTGAAGTTAACCTAACCCATTTGAAACAATTCGATGAAGACGCTGAATTGAAACTGCGCACTCACCCAGGGAAATTCCTGCCTGCTGTAAGTCATTTTACGCTCAACGGATTGCATTCAAATCCAACATAAGATATTTAGTTCGAAGAAGCTGCACGTACTGTTGCTGATGAACTCACTGCTCCAAGACCAGAAGGTGAAGAGGAAATGAAAGACATCCAGGCTGGTTTTCTATCTGTTTCTAGTTTTCTGGCAGATATTATCATTTTTATGTAGAGGATTTAGTGTTTAATGTTTTTAGGTTTGCTTGACTTTGGACGAATACCCTTCATCAATACGCAGAGTAAAAAGTGCTCAAGTCTCGCAAGTTGTAAAAATATCGGGTATCATTGTAGCGGCTTCGCAGGTACATTTGGCTGTTTACTTCGAAGCTAACGCTCTCATGATTCCGCGCTTACATGGGGTATCATCTACTTCAGGTTCGTGCTAAAGCAACGAAAATTACTTTGCAATGTCGTACCTGTCGCCACACTATCAGCGACCAAGTGCTAAAACCGGGCTTGGAAGGTTTTCAGCTCCCGAGGACGTGTGGAGCGTACGTCTTATTTCTTTCATATTAATCACAGGGTCCTAACGGTGCAATTTCAGTCCCCAATCTGGACAGCTTCAGCGGTGTCCTATTGATCCATATCATATTGTGCCCGATAAGTGCCACTGTGTAGACTATCAGACTCTAAAACTGCAAGAAAACCCAGAAGATGTCCCTCATGGTGAAATGCCGCGACATTTGCAGTTGTATTGTGACAGGTATGGCTGTTTAGTTAAACTGTAATTATGTCCTGATTTTGGAAAATAGTGGACATTAGAAGATACAGTCGATATCCGAAAGTTGGGGTGGGTGTGTCACCGGAAGTGACGTGCACTTGATAGAAGTGCGTGGATAAGCTGTTGCCAGCATGCTTTGCTGATATCCAGCGATGTATGTTGGAAGCAGCTTATCCACATAGTTTCTATCAAGTGCACGTCACTTCCGGTGACACGCCCACCCCAACTCACCGATATCGAGTATAAATAAGCATTGAAGGTACCTGACCGACAGAGTAGCCCCAGGAAATCGTGTCACCCTTGTGGGAGTGTTTTCAATCAAGAAACTCTTCCAAAAGGTAAGGGTTATTTCGCCTAGTCGCTTGCTAAAAACCTTACCTTGAATGCCACCATTATAGAGCAAGGCAGGCACCGACAAAACATTAACCGGTATCAGGACGCCGTACCTTCGGGTGCTTGGTATCCACGTCGAAACTGGTGGCCCTGGGCGAGCTGAATTCAAGCAGTACACTCCGGAAGAAGAGCGCAACTTCAAGTATGTTGTTTGAAAAATGATCATTTTGGTGTTTGAACATTGATTCGTATCGCAACCGATGAAAAGTCCACTTATCATTTGTTCAACATAACATTTAGTGGCTCAACTGCACACTTTTCATAATCAAATTGCTGCTGCTTTTTTCTCTGGACATTCCTGCTTTCACTAACAAGCGTTGTTTAGCGGCGCTGCTCAGCGACCTGATGCTTACGAGCTCATCGCGAAGAGTATAGCACCATCCATTTATGGATCAGTGGATATAAAGAAATCTATTGCTTGCCTGTTGTTTTGGTGGGTCTAGAAAAGGTAAGAAAATGGTATAGCAGCTTGATTCCATCGGTTTGGGTCAAGTTTTCGTTTGAAACAACACTGATTCAGACTTCCTGACGGGCTTACACGACGTGGTGACATTAATGTACTACTTCTCGGTGATCCTGGTACAGCTAAATCCCAACTTTTGAAGTTTGTGGAACAGGTAAGCAGTAACATTACTAAATGTGGGCAATACAGTTTTAAGCCTGCAGTTTTCAGGTGGCACCAATTGGAGTGTATACTTCGGGTAAAGGTTCATCAGCTGCCGGTCTTACTGCGTCAGTGATTAGAGATCCACAATCGGTTAGTCATGAAGGAATTTCCTACGATACTCCATCTTAATCTAAGAGATTTCAGCGCACATTCATGATAGAGGGTGGAGCGATGGTGTTAGCGGATGGCGGTGTCGTTTGCATCGACGAGTTTGATAAAATGCGTGAAGATGATCGTGTTGCTATTCACGAGGCAATGGAACAACAGACTATCTCCATTGCCAAGGTTTGTCAAGGGTGGAGTGAACCTGAATAGATTGTATGGTTATTGAAGATTTCTAGGCGGGTATCACCACTACACTGAACTCACGATGCTCTGTCTTGGCCGCTGCAAACTCGGTTTACGGACGATGGGATGACGCTCGTGGTGACGAAAATATCGATTTTATGCCAACTATTTTGTCTCGTTTCGATATGATTTACATAGTCAAAGATACACATGATGTGAAGAGAGATGAGGTAAGTTCAAAGGAACGAATAATTAGCTACATAACTATCACGACATTCTGTTTAGACTCTCGCTAGGCACGTTATCGATGTTCACGTGAATGCATCTAAAAATAGGAATAAAGCAATGATAGAAAAAGAGGTTAATGTGGATGCCAAGACAGAAATGTTTGACTCTGATGGGTTCCTTACCCTAGGTGAGTTACATTTTAAGACGTGCCTTCGAGTAAACATCACTGCAGAAGACAAAATGAATAGAAAATGAGCTTGGGCAGGGTTAGGGATCCCATAAAGGAAAAGAGCTTGGAGTGAAGTGCACATCCGCCGCTCATGTAGTAGAAGTGCACTTGGAGGAGATTGCTTTCGAATCTATTTGTCATCTAGTGGATAACCTATTTAAATGGGCTTGAAATAGATAGAGCCAAGTCCAATACACAAAGAATTCGCTCGCAGCCAATGTGATTTCTACAGAGTGGGTCTTGAACCGCGGTCGCCTGCTCTTTCTGCTGGGTTTTGATTTATTTCCCGGTAAAAATACCAAACAAAGCACCTGTTTTGCCCAGATCTTAATTTAAGGATTTCCTGTACAAATGAAACGTTCATTGCAGGTTTCTTGAAGAAATACGTGTCCTATGCGAGGTCTCATTGCGGTCCTCGGCTAAATCCGCAGGCTAGCGAGAAACTCGCAAGCAACTATGTCCGAATGCGTAACCCGCCAATCGATGCTGATCATATTGGTTAGTTTTTGGAACTTTCTCGTGAAAACCTTCCTCAACGTTACCCTTTTCAGTGATGAGCAAAAAGACACCAAAGTCGTCGATTTCAATTACCGTCCGTCAGCTTGAGGCCGTGATTAGAATGAGCGAAAGCTTGGCAAAAATGGAATTGCAGCCGTTTGCAGTTGACAAGCATGTGGATGAGGCCCTCCGCCTATTCCGTGTGTCCACCGTTGAAGCAGCAGCGACCGGACATCTTGCAGGTTAATTCTATCCTTTCAGATATTTGAAAAAAGTTCGCTAAATTTATCAATTCGGTACAGGTATCGAGGGATTCACGTCTGATGCCGACCAGGAATCAATGGGAAGGATAGAAGCACAAATGAAGAAACGCTTCTCC